GGAGCACCGGGTGGGCCAGCTCCAGGGTTGGGGATACCAGGCCGGGACTCGCGGCGTTTTGAACCTGCTGGTTGGTGGCTTCATGTTTCGGATGTCAGACTTGCAACCTGGTACGAGACATTGTAGCTGTTTCCAGGTGCTGTTTCCATCTTCCATCCCCGCCTGAAGATTTAGCTCAATGGCTGCAGTCACCACGGGTTATAATGTTCAAAACTAGGAGTTCCAAAGATCCAGAAGTGCTGCAAAGTTGACTTGCCGAGATTCCTTGGATGTACCTTGCTTTGAAGCAACTTTTTGTGGGCTGAAGCACAAAGTTGAAACATGTTTGTGGGCTTGCATCGCAGAGTTCTTTCTTTCTATCACAATCTTGGTGACTTTGATTTGATAAGGTATATAAATCAATCATCTAAGACTTTAACCATCCATAATCACATATATACAAGCTGTCTTGAGATGAATGCGTCTACACGTTGCCTGCACATTCAGAAATCACATTTCCAAGATCGCTCAGACACCGAACCACCGAACCCGACGACCGTGCCGTCCAGGTGCGGCCGAGCGGCGGAGCTTCGACCGAGCGCCCGGCGGCCGCTTCGGCTGAAGCCCAAGGAGCGGACGTGGCGCGGAAGCCGCGAACGAGGATTCCAACGCTTCCGGAGACTCGTGGCGAGCGCTTGGTTTGAATCGGTTATACGTGGAAAAGGGGTGTTTTGCCGAAGCTGGTGAGTCGAAAGGCTCGTGGGACGTTGGAGCGTCGGTTTTCGCTCGTCGAGTGTGCTCAAGAGGTCGGTGAGTCATGGCATGAATTCGGGAAGAGTTGGTCCTTCGCCCTTGGAAGACGAGTTGGTCTAAGGCATCTTAGATTTCAAGGGAGATTGAGATTAAATATCCCTTGAAACAAGATGAATATCCCTTGAAGCGTTTGGGCTTGTTTCAAGGGAGCTTGAGATTGAATATGGTCCCCTAGGGCTCCAAGGTCCAAGTACCTCCTCTTGAAGGTATGACTGGACCCTCTTGGCACCCACCCCAAAGACCTTCTTAGAAGGTACTTGGAGGTTTATAGGGGTCTCCATGGACACCTAACTGTTTTCCTGTTTTCGTTGTGCCAGGAAAGCCCAGAGAGATGGCAACCCGTGGCACCGGAAAGCCAAGACGGCAGCCCGTGGCGGAGACCGACCGCAGCCGGAGACGATGGAGAAAGCAGGCTCTCGGTTCCTCCGGCAGATACCACCTGCGCAGCTGAGGGTTGAAACCGGCAGCCCAAACGCTCCATGGGACTGGCATATTTACATACATTGGGGTGGTTGAGAAAGGGGTCCATTGATCGGTAAATCTGCCAGTCGCATGGAGTGTTTCAGTAGGGAGATCCCTTTTCTCGCCCCCCCAGGCAGGTTCCGCAGTGCGTCGACGCGTCTATCCGAACACCCAGTCGGAGAGCCTGGGAGGTCGTCCCTATTTTGCACATGAAGTCACTAAGTGACTCACTTGTTGGAAGCTTTTTGACCACTTTGACGGTGTCCACTGGACGGATCCTTTGGGTTTGATTGAGGGGTGAAGCTTAGACAGTCATAGCCCAGTTGATCTGATTTGAGGAGTGCATACTGTTGAAACAAGATGCTCATGAACAAGTTTGGCAATCAAGGCAGTCCTGAACAGTCCTGCAGCAAACGGAGTGTTGGCACCAATCTTTTCTGTCCCACCCTCCCATGATGCTTGTGTGTGGCACATGCGTGGCACGCTTGGGCTTGAAGTTAGGCTGTGTGGGTGACTGATGTAGAGTACATTGAGCTTGGAGATGAAGACAGTAGTAATTATGCTCGAGATTGATAATTTATCTTTGACACTACCGTCATCTATGCCCTACATAGAAGTGTCGTGCTACGTACATTGGGAAGCTCCTCTTTTCCGTTCTGAAGATGCAGTTTTGTCTTACAGAGGAGGCTCCAACTGCCTACAGATGCGCAAGATGGCAGCTTGCAAGACCGCTATGATTATCCATGGTATCCCATGGTTCCTTCTTCATTCTTCTGCTAAAGACCGAACTCCGCCATGGCACAGCCGAAGTTGGAAGACTTGGCACTCGCCTGAGTGGAGACACGGGTTTTGGCTGACTGAGGGGATAGGCATAGGTGGATAGGCCTTTGCATACCATCGTACCGTTTGTGTGTTCGGAAAGAAACAGGTGGTTTGGTTCTTGTTGGTACTACATAGTTGACGGAGTAGTTCATGGTACTTTTGATTTTGACGTGATAACTCGACTCGCCGTGTCTTTTAACGACAAACACCAGATGTCTACCAGGACCCCCTAAGCGGTGTCTATCTTCTTAGAGGTTAACGGGTCTATCAACCACGCCTGGTGGGTCCTGCTACATAGTTTGTGTCGTTGCAGTCTGACCTTGGGGTGGTCCGACCTTGGAAAGGTCCAGACTTCGAACTCATCAACACCGCCTTTTCAGCATGAGGTGGAGCTTGCCAAGGCCGCACAAGCCTGGCTGAAGAGGCTTGGTCCTTTTCAGTGAATCGATCGAGCGAGGTTGGCGGAGGTGATCGACAGCGGAATTCCTAGAGCCACAAGGGTTGGATCATGTATGATCATGTCATGTTGTTATTTAATGTTTTTGCAGGATAGCGCTACTTGTGAATCTGTCCAAGCCACAGCTCATGTTGAGCAGTGGAATGTTTTTGCAGGATAATTCGAGAATAATGGGCCGGATCTAAGCAAAGATGTTAGTTGCGCTGCAGTTTTTGTTGATGTAAGAAGTACATCTCCTTCCCAAAGGATCCACTTCAAAGTCCGGACATGTCGAAAAGAGTGGCCATGTGCGAGCGCGCAACACCTGGCGTGTTTTCCACGCAGTTCCTCAGCTAAGAACGTGCCCAGAATCCCACAGGGAACGCTGCATCGGGCTACAATCTCCCGTGAAAAGAAAGCTTTCCCACGAAAACGAGAAAAGTCCAAACCCCAAACACTCCATGTATGGCATATTTACCTACATTGACCCCTGAAACCACCCCAATGTAGGCATATATGGCATACATGGAGTGTGTGGGAACGGCATTCCGCCAAACAAAACACCTCTCGGCACTGAAGCGGCGCCAGGGCTGCACTTGCCTCGGCAGACGCCGTGAAGAAATGGTCTCAACAGGCCACGGTGAACGAGACATGTGGCGACACGGCGACGTGGTAACGAGGGTGGAGACGAGACGAACGACGAGGACGTATTGAACAGAAATAGGGAGCTTTGGAGACCAAGTCGTAGGCCAAGTATATGGCACGCGACCAGAAGTCCTGGTCACCGAAGTTAGATTAGGGCAATAATAATGACAATTGTTTTGTTTGTTGAACAATTTCGTTCAGAGGCGGGCCCCCAGCTAAATGCAGTAAAACACAAGCTAGGCGCTAGTATAGCTCTAGCACCGCGCTAGCTTCTAATATATATTTCCATTATTGATTGATTTGTCTATCTACATGTCACCAAAAGAGAGCTTTGAACTCACAGAGAGCCAGATTGATGGTTGTTCACCAGTGAAGCTTGAAATTGTGATTTGAAATCTTGCTAGTATTGTGTCTGAAGTTTTCTGGCTTCAGAGGGTCTCCGGGTTTCCTCCCATGGCGTTTGTGGGTCCTGATGCACCTTCTCTTTGTAGAGTTGGACGTGGCGTGCCCTGTGGGGCGAAGATGGGCGCCTTGAAGTTTCATGAAGAATACCGCATATGGACATGCAAGTGCGCGCTCTGGCATAAGTTAGTCCTTCAATTCTGATTGTAAGTCTGTCATTTCCTGAGAACAAACATAGACCAATTTAATGTTTTGGCACCTGGAGGAAAATGAGGGGTTCACAGCCAGTGGCGGAGTACGAGCAAGTCATCACGTGGCTGCGCTCTTGGATGGCGAGTGGGTTTTCACGTCCAGGCTGAGCGCCTTCATGAAGGGCCGACCAGCGCTTGGGCGCAAGATGATGCTAGTGGTGGGGCTGGGTGTGTGTGTGTGTGTGTGTGGAGGCTTTGCTGTTGCCATTCTATTCTTGGCCTGGTTTCTTTTGTTGTTGTCTTGTTGTTGTTGTTGTTGTGGTGGTGGTGGTGGTGGTGGTGGTGCCTGTG